TGCAAGTGGGCTACTGCAGGCCTATCCAGTACCGAAAGCAAACCAGGCATATACCATCAAGGCACTCACTAAACTGATGTCTGCCTACGGGACACCTCAAGTCATCGAGAGCGACCAAGGGACTCATTTTACTGGTGCAATGATACAGCGCTGGGCAGAAGAAAATAACATCGAATGGCGATTCCACCTGCCATATAATCCAACGGGGGCAGGCCTCATCGAACGTTATAATGGTATTCTTAAGGCTGCCCTGAAGACAGACTCCCAGTCCTTGCAGGGGTGGACAAAAAGACTGTATGAAACCCTGCGGGACCTGAATGAAAGACCTCGAGACAGCAGACCCAGTGCCCTGAGAATGTTGCAGACGACATGGGCCACCCCGCTTAGGATCCAAATTACGGGCACTGATCATCAGGTAAGACCCCAGATTGGTAATGAAAATAATCTTCTGCTCCCTGCCCCTGAAAACTTAGAGCCAGGTACCCATAAAATAAAATGGCCCTGGAAGGTGCAGGTAGGACCCAAGTGGTGTGGCCTACTTGCACCTTGGGGGAGACTATTGGAGGTGGGAGGCTCAGTAGTCCCTCCAGTAATAGGTACATGGCCTACTGATATTGTGGTCAACACTCCGATCTTTATTGCTAAAGGGACCCCCATCCTGTCCCTATGGCAGATCAGGACACCTCCTTTGGTGCCTGATATCGTTATGCAGCCGCAGATATCTGGCCAAAAGGTGTGGTACAGGCGGCCAGGACGTGCCCCAGTACAAGCGAAAGTGTTGACCCAAGACAGAAATACGGCCTGTATCTTGCCCTGGAGAGCAGACCTTCCCCTCCTGGTACCTGTGAAACATCTGTATTACTCCCTGTGAGTCTGTGAGCCTTCAGGACCACCGGAAGGAACAAAATGCCATCAAGCGTTCCAGTGTTGCTGTCAGATCACGTACAACACCCAGTGATGGTCTGCATGGGACTGATGGAACATAGAACGGACCTGCACCTCAGGACCTCATGCCTCCAGTCACATCATCGAGCACTGGCCCATAGAATATGGACATCCACTGATCATCACTTGTCTTGAACTGTACCAACACACGTCGCGATAAAATTGTATAAGCGTCGCGATATACCGGATCTCTGTATTAGGGAAAGCTTACCCTTTTGTTAACCTGATCATTGGTTCATGCTGTGAAGGGGTGGAGTGTATGGGAACTGCTGAGTCATGGCCTGAACCTCTGATTGATCACCTGAGGTGAGCCATGAGTCAGCCAGAGGAGCACATGTGAAGGCAATTCACCTGTGCTGCTGGAAGGGGTGGAGCCAGGCTCCACCCCTCCTGGACCTATTTAAGAGCTGGCTACCAGAGGGGAAGGATCTCTTCTGGAGATCCCCTCTTTTGGTGTTTTCTGGTGAGCTCAACCCAAGGGTAAGCTCTTCCACTTATTCTCTTTTGTGATCGTTGTCTGCTTTGCCTTACTCTCTTGATTATATTGCAATTATAACATCTTGATATCTATTGATTATACACAATTATATTGTGATTATAACATCTTGGTTATACAGAGGGACAGGCAGAGATGGGCAAGATAGGGAAAAGTCTAGGGTAGGGGCAGGGCAAGTGATAGGTACAGGAGCAGGAGATGGGCAAGAAAGGGAAAGGAGAGGGGCAGGGGCAGTGACAGAATAAAGAAAAGGGTGAGGATGGGTGTGGAGGTAGCGGTAGGGTAGGGACAGGGACAGGACCAGAACAGGGATGGGTAAACAGGGAATGGGGGCACAGCAGGGCCTGGTCAGGGCTACATCAGAGGCAGGAAGGGACTTGAAAGGGGCAGGACTGGAGACAGGCACTGCTGGGACTGCTGACACTTCTGTGGCGGTGAGGATGAAGGGATGCCTGCTGTACTTCCAGTGGTGAGAAGTAGAAGATTGTGGGGATTTCTCACTTTTTATTTATTTTCTCCAAATAGTTTATTAATTGCTATGACTAGTGACTGTGGTTAATGCTCTGATTGATTGGGTAATGGCAGCTCCATTAGTAGACTGCAGGTTTGTAGGGGAATTTTCCACCAAGGAGGGATCTCCAGACAGAGATCCTTCTCCTGTGGCAGTCAGCCCTGAAATGGGGCCTAAGGGAGGTGCAGCCAGGCTCCAGCCCTTCCTGTTGCACAGCTGAATTGCCTTCACCTGTGCTCCCATGGCTGACCTGGTCCTTTCCACAGGTGCTCAACCAGTGGTTCAGGCTGGGACTCAACAGTTCCCATGCAGAGTCCTTCACAAGTCGCAGTGCAGGAATCTGCTAGGATGTGGTTCTTTAGGGTCTGCCAGGGGCAACCATGGTCTTCTTTACAGCTTGCAGGAGCAGCTCTGCTCTGACACTTGGAGTACTTTCTTCCTCTACTTCATCACTGACCGTGGTGTCTGCAGTATTCTTTCTTTCACATTTTTCCTCCTCCTCTCTCACAGCTGCTGCACTGCATCAGAAATAACTTTGATTTACAACTCCAGACTTGGCAAGGGCAAACAGTGGCCTTGACAGGAAAATGAGTGCTATATTTTCAGTTCTGAAATAACCAGCTTAGGGATGTTTAAAACTGGCTGCAGGAGCTGACAGCACTGAGGGTGCTCCACGTGGAGCCTGGATATTGTAAGCTGGAGCTAGCAGTGCAAGTGCTGAAATACAGGAAGAGCCATTTAAAGAAAAATCTCCTGAATTCTGCCATCCTTGCTAATTCCCACAGCTAAACCTCATGCCAAACAGCATCTTGAAACTGAACATTTTTTGTTCATTAATGTTTCACTTTTTCTTTCTATCCTGAAATATAGTATCAGTAGTGGACATGCCAAAGAAGTTGCCCAATACATTCCAGCTGGACTTAAATGCTCACTTGTGTGGTAAAGCAGTGCCTAGAAACCTGCAACGACTGCTCCTTATCCATGTTCACTGGATTTTTTTCCTGGTAAATGGAGTCTGAGTATTTTTACCTATAATGGCACCGAGTGTTGAACACTCACCTTTAATTTAGCATCAAAGATGGTTTTTCTGCTTCTATAAATGACCATTCACTCAAAAAATACAGCTGTTTCTCAAGCACAACTGCCTAACTCTATGGTTAAGTGCTGATCTCTGACACCTTGGGACCTTCTTTCCCGAAGCCGGAAAGGCTCAGCCGAAGGGTAAGCTCTTTCACTTATTCTCTTTTGTGATCGTTGTTTACTTTGCCTAATTCTCTTGATTATATTGAGATTATAACATCTTGATATCTATTGATTATACAATTGTATTGTGATTATAACATCTTGATTATACACCCTGCTGCCCACCACTCTTTTGTTGCAGTCCAGAATACTGTTGGCTTTCTGGGCTACCAGCACACACTGCTGACACAGGTGAAGCTTTTTGTCTCCCAGGGAAGCCCAAGAGCTTCTTGGCAGGGCTGCTGTCGAGGAGTTCTCCTGCCGTTTGGTAGTTGTGCTCTAGAATCCTGCCTTCAGGCATGAAAGCCAGGGAAGCATTGCTGGTGAAGACAGAGGCAAAGAAGGTGTGAGGTACATCAGTCCTCTCTGCTCTTGTGCTTATTAACACAACAGTAGGCCTGCACCTTCCTTGTCTACTCTTTTACTTGTAAGGAAACTCTATCAGCTGGAGCCTTCACACTCCTCTGCAAGTATCAGGTCCATGTCAGGTGAAAGCAGCCAAAGCTGCCCTGACTATCACAGCCCTGACCAGCTCCCTATCGGCCAGTGTGAGACCCAGCTGAGCATCACCTGTGTTTCCCCCAGCAGCTGTGTGAAGAAGTTGGCTGAACTCGGTGGCCTGTTGTTCTGCTCAGCCAGAGAATGCCAGGGCAATTGCAGCTCCCATAGGCAGCTGCTCATTGATCTGCAGACACCTCAGATTGCTGACAAAAGACTTCTGCTTGCTCTCCTTGATCAAGCAGTTGGTAAGCAGCCTGATCAAGACCACACAACAGTTAATGATGTTATTCTATAATAGCTCAAGTAACCAAAATGAGAGAATCTTTTTCATGGTGTACTGCACGTGAGTCGTAGGCTCATTCACTTCTGGACACTTAAAGATACAGTTTGCGAAGGAATCCCTTATTTTATCTCCATCTATCACTAGCTGCATCCAATAAAGTCCTGCAAGAAGACACAAAAGCTCGGACAAGCTTGCTGATAACAGCTGAGGACATGCAGGAATGTCCATGACACAACAGCCACTGAAGTCAAGGAAGATCTAGAAAATACAGGTGATGAAGCAGAAGGGAAAGAAGGAGTCAGGGCCTTTACGCAAAGCAGAGCTGTCCCACTCTGTGGGAATGTTAGGATGCTGTAGGCAGGCTCCAAGATGCTCCCCTCTATCCTCCTTCCCAGCTTATCTCTATGCAAAGACAGACAGATGACCAGAATGATGACCAGCATAAAAGGCACAAATGCTAGAAGTAATTAAACAATTAAGAGGTTGTTTCTGTTTATGTTGTAAAGCAGGCATCCAAAAGTTACAACCAGATGTTTGTTAAGAAAGCAATTAACCAATTAAGATATTTGTGTTTGGGTGGTAAGGATTTCTGTTTACATGGTATTTGTATGATTAGCAAAACGCCGTGAAAGAACGAGAACCTGCAGTACTCAGCCAAGGAGGAGCCAGGGGAGAAAGATCAGCGTCGGGCAGCAGGGGATAAAGATGGAACACTGTTTTCCGGGCACTCTCCTGCTTGCAGGAAGCCCACCATCACAACTGCACATGAAATCTGCTTTACCAGAGCATATATCAACGAATATACAAATGCTATACGTCTCCTCCGTGCAGGCCGCCGCCTCCTCTCCCAGAGAGGTGAGTGCCGCGGGCTCGGCCGGCGCCCGGGATGGCCGGTGGGGGCCCGTGCAGGAGAGGCGCGGGGCCGGCCGGCCGGGCGGCGCTTTGCGGCCTCGTTCCTCGAGTACGGGGGAGGGGGGTCGCGGCGTTCTCGTTCCGGGGAGCGCCGGTGGGTCGGAGCTTACCGAGGGGCCGCCGGAAGCGCAGGCGGGCGGGCACGGAGTCGCCTCCTCGAAACGCGGCTTGCTACTGCTGCGCGCCTCTTAAAGCCGGTGAGCCCTCGGCGGCTTTCGAAGGAGTCCGGCGGCGTGGCGGAGTTCGGCTTCCTCCAATTCCGTGGGCGCGGTCCCCGAACTTCCGGTCTTCCCTTTTTCAAGGAGCCGGAATAGGGAACGCGTACCGTTAAGCTCCCGGAGTCGTTTGGCTGCCGTACGGCTGCTGTTGCTGTCTCTGCGGCGGCGTTGTGAAATGCCGGTAGGAAGAGAGGGAGAGGCGGGGGGAAATGGCTTTGCCGTCGTGCGTCGGTAGTTGGGCGGCCGGGTGGTTCTGTGCTCTCTGGAAAACGCGTGCGGGTGGCGGTGAGCCGCCTGCTGCGGCTGGGAGGAGCGGCGTCACGCGGAAAAGTGCCGCTCTGCCGCTGCGAGGCTCAGCGAAAAGATATTCCCTCTCCTTTTGTCGTGCTCGAGGCCAGCTGCTGCGGGTTTAGTTTCATCTGTTTAGTGATGCTTACGACTGGCTGTGTAGCGCGGTCAGTGATGGAAGTAACTGTTGGTTTTCCTGTTGTGTTGATTTTGGAGAGGAGGGTTGAGCAAGGCTGCCAGCATTTCTTTTGAAGTTTCTTTCCAGCCCCGTTTACAAGGAGGCGGGGCAGGCACGAGAGGAAGGTGACAGAAGCATGGACAGGAAGAGCTGGACTCTTAATTTATGGCATTTGTTTTCTTCTGCAACGTAAATAGGATGCAAGAGACACAGCTTATATGTAGCTGACCCCATTCTTTTCTCTTTAGTCAGAAGTGTGCTTGTGAAAAGTAACAAGTATGAAGACTTGCTTGCTTTGCTACTAACCTCAATTTTGCTTTGGTAGCCTTTGCCAGTTATTGGGAAGAAACGTTATTTTCTTAATCCTGTATCTTTTGAAAACAAAGCCCTGAGTGCAAGGAGTGAACTGGAGCTGATAGCTGTGAAGAAGCTCTAGGAAATATTGCGCACCCCTGAAAAGAAAGGTCTCCTTTATTTCCTACTCAATTACTTCAAAAGTACTGTACATCTAAAATGTACCTGTCATATTTTTTTCCTTCAGAGATCGTTGAAAGGATTCTTTTTTGCTAAGCTGTACTTTGAGATAAAAGTATACGAACTTGCTAAAAGGTAATAAATGTTACATATGTTGGTTGTTCTGTTCTTTAAAGTGTGATAGGAAAGCTAAAGGAAATAGAGTGGAGAAATCAAGACTGTTGCCGTGCTGTTTTAAGGTAGCAGTAAATGGGAGAATGTGGTGCCATATAAATCTTCCTAAAACAGCAACTTAAAGGATGGGTAGTCATGTGCTGCTGTACAAACCCATCTGGTTGAAATGTCTTTTCTGCCATTGTATTATGTTCTTCTTCCAGTTTCTGTGAGCTACTGCTTTATTTAGTAAAGGCCAGTACTTGCAGGCAAATATGCAGCGTCTGTACGTGTAGAAATAATATTGTTCCTTACTTGAAGGTCTAGATCAAGCCCCTTGAACTAAATATGGCTAGATGTCCTGTATGACAGATTAAAGTCCCGCGTTAGCTGCAGGGTGTGGGGGGACTTGTAATACTGAGGAATACTGATCCTTCTGTTTTTTCTTTGTTTATTTACTCTGTAGATATACATCTATTTATCTCAATGTCTGAGAGAAAGATCCTAAAGCTCACAGGTTTCTGGGACAGATCTACGAAGCTCAGGATAACACAGAAAAAGCTTTTGGGTGTTACAAGGTAATCACCTCACTCACCTCCCTGATATCCTGCTTTATTCCTTTGTAAATGGACTTGATCTTTGTGCTTCCTTCTCTGATGGTCTTCTTCTTGCTGCCCTTTGGACTGAGAATCTGTGAGCCCTGTAGAATTCTGCCGTAGGGATACCACAGTGACAGCAGTAATCCGGCTGCTACTGAAAGACTGGACTGAGAGTGTTTTTCAGTTGCATTGTTTAGTTTGTTGTTAGTGGTAGGCTTTTTTGTTTGTTTGTTTCCTCAGAGATAGAGGGAATGGGGCAAATGCAGTTCTGATTAGGCAAGCTCTGTATAAATGTGAACTTCACGGTGCACGTTTCATTGTTCGGGCACTGAGGAGGGAGAGGATACACACAAGTCTTGTTGCCAGCACAGTGGAGTTCCATCATTCTCTGTGACTGAATCCGGAAGACTCCATATTAGGTTAGGCTAGAGATGCTCCTACTCCTATTGATAGTTCTGCTTTGACTTCCTGGGTCTATTGAGTGGGGGACATGTTTTCTTTCTTGTTCTATATAGACTGCAAGATCAAGTTGCTAGTAACCTTTTTTTCTTCTGTGTGTGCATGGGGAAAACCAGCGTTCTGTGGAGCTGAATCCCACGCAGAAAGATCTTGTACTGAAGATTGCAGAGCTGCTATGCAGTAACAACATCACGATGGAAGAGCAGAGTACTGGGTTGAGAAAGCTGCCAGGCTCTTCCCTGGGAATCCTGCTGCTTACAGGTTGAAGGTAAGTTCCAGCTTCTGATCTCTGTTCTGTGCCTAGAAGAAACTTTAGTTGCATCAAGTGATGGGAAAACAGTGGTAGTAACAGTATCCAAGAGGTCAAGATTAGATAGGTGATATTGCCTCTGTTATGTGACTACTCTGCTTTCTAGGTTTTTTTATTTGAGTTAAAAACTGTTGAGTATAGGAGATGCTCTTATATATGTAAATGCTTTCAGTCATATGATCTCACTTTTGCACAGGCATTAGTTTTCTGGAGCACAACAGCAATGAAATTGAAGTCTTGAGAGGCTTGTGCTTCGGGGTTTTTTGTGTGGCTCTTTTTTTTTTTTTTTTTTTTTTTTTAGACAAGCTGCTCTGTATCAGAGTGTGGCAAATTTGAACCAAATGGTTTGACAACTGAGCATCTAACTTAGCATCTACAAGATGCAAACTCTAGAGTTGTTTTTTTGTTTTTTTGTTTTTCTTTTCTCACTTCTAAAATGCTTTCCAAACTCTCTGTAGCACCTTTGAGCTTTGAAGAGCAGTTTGAGTAATGTAGTCTGTAGTGGCGGTGAGAAAGCAGTCATGTAATGTAGTTGCTGAAGAGGCTCTCATGGAGAATGCAATTTTAACGTGTTGCCTTTGTATGTGATAGGAGCAGTTGCTGGAGTGTAAAGGCTGGATGGCTGGAATCAGCTCTGTGATATGATTCAGACCGAGCTCTGTGCGAGACCAGATGATCCCTACCTTAACATCAGACTGGTTGCTCTCTACCGTTCAAATAACAGATTAAGAGATGCTGTGCTTCACTGTCAGGAGGCGGAGAAGAAAATACCTGTAGGCTCCAGCTTGGAATGGTGTTAGTGCGTCATAAAGACGTTCGAGGTATTTAATTATGTTTTGGTCCTGTCGTAATCTGCCATGTCCTTGAAAACTGGTGTTATTCTCTTAGTATCGTTACAATGACAGCTAATTCTCAAGTGGCTTAACTCCTTCAAATGCAGTGTCTGCGGAAACCCATGATTTACTTAAGATTTTCTTAAGCCTTCCGGAGTTGAAAAATATGTTAATGTCTCACCTGGGAAACTGGATTATGTTACAAGGTGTTTTGGAGAACCTCTTGCCTTCATGTAAGGATGGTGGTTTCTCATTCTCTAATGAACTTTATTCTTTAGGAATACCTTGAATCAGTACGAGACTTGGAGCCTGGTAAAAATAATTGGAGAGCTGTCAAGAAGGATCATCTGCTGGCCTATTCTAGCTTGGTTAAAAATACACTTGCTTCTTGCTTCTAGAGATGTTCGAGAAAGCAGAGGGGCCCTTGAAAGGTATTGTTTTAACTGTTCTATTAAAAAAAAAAAAAAAAAAAAAATTGAATATTTTTTTCTGGGTCACAGAACTTCTAGCAGGCATCATTTTCAGTGATTAGCCATTTTGTGGATGGGAGAGGAGTTCCTCTGTACTAATTGCTCTGTACTAAGAAAAAATGTTGCTAGGCTTGATCCCCAAGCTGTGTGTCTGAGCTACAGGCCTCAGAGAAGACTCGGTGATAGGGGTCTAGTATAAATGGGAGGCCAGGACTTGGTTGAAAAGGAGTGTTTTCTACGTTCCAGTTTCGATCGTGTGCTTCACTCTGTGAGACTGTGTGTGAATGGACCTGATGAGCTGTCTCGTACCTTCCTTGGAATGAAAGGACACTTCTACATGCATGCTGGAACTTTCCTGCTGAAAATGGCCTAGAACAGCGAGGCACGATGGAGAGATGCGTGTGAACTTGCAGCCTTGTGTTACCTGAAAAGTTTCCATGTAAGTCCCTGTTCAGTTTGTGCCTGTAGTGGTTGCAGTTGAGTGCCTCTTGCTGTACGCACACTGAACACCTGCATTCCAAAAACTAGCTGCTGTTTTTAAGGCTGTCTCCTTGCCAAATCTTACTCTTCCGTACTTCTTTAAAAGATTTCCAAGTGGTGTGAAGAAAATCTCATCTGCTTCACTTGTCGGAAGTAAATGACTCTTAAGGGCTAACGAGTGTATTTCCTGTAGGCTGTTCCTTTCTCTGTAATGCAGCTAAATTAACTAATATTAAGGTTATTGATACGGGAGGGAGGGGAATGACCTGAGTAGCTCTCACATACTTATTGCATAGACAGCAGAGCTTGATCAATTCTTTGCTTTATGGAATACAATCAGTTTTCCTTTTGCACAAATGCTTGCGCTCAAAACATCGCTTTGTCTTGTGCGCTCTTACAGCTGTTTGCAATTGTTCAGTTACTCACCTTGTGTCCTTTCCTGAAAAGAAACAAGCTTGTTTCCTGACTTTTAAGACTAAATGAAGTGATTTGCTTTTTACTGTCAAGAAGCTGTAGCAATTCTTTTCTTTCTTCACCGGATTCCTAAGCCAAGGTCAAAACTAATGAGAGGAGATTGTGCTGGGCAAGATACACTGGAAATGTTGGCCTGTGACCGAAAAAGCCAGTCTGGTAATAAAAACTAATAATTACAAATGTTCCGTAGTTCCATTTTAATCTTATGAGCAGCTAATGTCAGAGTTAAAGGCTTGTTTAAATAGCATCTCTTACCAATATTGTGTTCAGTAAGTGCGTGAGCACGTTTGGTGTCTTGGAACATGCCATAAAACGTTCTGCATTTTGGCTGCGTATGAAATGCAGAACAGCGGTTTGATCTTGACACGTACTGGGCTTTTTCTTTTTATCTCCAGGACATTAAGATAGAATTTAACTTTCAGTGTCTCCTAGTCTGCTGGTTTCTGCCTACTAATACACTATTTGTAAGCACTGCTAGTCCTAAGTGTAAAAGAAAATACTGCTCTTTTCCTGTCACTTTTGTTCCCTTCTTTGTTCCAACAGGTTTCCTGCTTTTTTCTTTCTTGCTGCTTTTTTCTTTCTTGCTGCTTTTTTCTTTCTTGCTGCTTTTTTCTTT